GTCTTTTTTTCCTTTCGTTCTCCTCTCCCTCTCCCTCTCTCTCTCTCTCACTTTCCCTCTTCCCTCTCTCCCTGCCTCTCCCTCCCCCTTTCCCTCTCCATCTCCCCCTCCCCCCCTATCTCCCTCTCCCTCTCTCTCCCTCTCTCTACCCATGCGCCCCCCCCCCCAACATCAACATGAATAGGAATGGCTGAACGGCGTGAGTTACTGTTAATTGCTAAATGACCGGCAAATTATGGGGAAGTAGGCCCTTGAGGGAGGGATGGAGGGGTTGGACGGAGGCGGGGATAAGGACGGGTAGAGGGATAGGGGGAATTACCGAGCCATTAAAACAACCGGTTTTCATGGAGATACAACCAATTAGCGTGCGCATGACGTATGGCCGGCGGGGATGTTGATGGCATTCGGTGGTGATAAGTGTGACGGTTCGTGTCAACATCAGTCACGTTTTTCTAATTAAATATACAAGTTACTGCCCGATGTAATTGGGGAACAAATGAAACATGAATTGAGCAGGTACAAGTGCACTAAATCATTACGACCTTCATCTATTCAGTCATAGCTATTTATTCATATCATCTATCTATTCATATTTATTTATTCAATCATCTATTTATGCATATCATCTATTTATTCACATTTATTTAGTCAATCATCTATTTATTCATATCTATTCATATCTGTATCTATCCATTTCTCTATCTTCTTTTTGACAGCGCAGTACAACAGATACACAATATGACTTGGAATACAATTTCAGCAACCATCTTGAAATGTAATTAGTCTCACAAAACGCTGTTGTCAAATGCTAATCAAAACCATCCTAAGTTCACCATCTCCGGCGCCCCTAAAAAATCATAGTCACTATCTAATTTATGTGCTAATGATTCTTCCGACGGATCTATGCACCGGAGAGATTTTAGCGTAGTTCCCCCTTTCCCTCACTCCTCCCGTCGCCCTTCCTCCGCCTTTCCTTTCATCTCTTCATTCCGTATTCTACTGCTACACCGACCATTCCCTCCTTTATCTCCATACATGCAAGTGTTTAAGCCTCTCTCTCTTCATCATCCTTCATCCTTCTCTCCCTCCTCCTTCTTCGACTTTCTTCTTCTTCGACTACCTTTCCTTCTCATTATCTACCACTATCACATTCAATTCCCTTTATTACCTCTTCCTCTCGCACTCTCCTTTCCAGCGCGAGCGTCTATCAGTAACGAACAGACGGGATTTCTTTTTCTGCCCATGTTACCTATTACTGACGTCCACGTAAATATTTAATTCGTCCCAAAATACCCCGAGAGTCGGATGGAACACGAGAGAGAAAGACAGAGATTGTGAGGGACGGGAGGAAGGAGGAAGAAGCAGGGAGGATGAGAATAAGGCCGGGAGGGAGGGACGGAGATAGATAGGTAGATACTAAGAGAAAGAAAGAAGAGAGGAGAGAGAGAGAGAGAGAGAGAGAGAGAGAGAGAGAGAGAGAGAGAGAGAGAGAGAGAGAGAGAGAGAGAGAGAGAGAGAGAGAGAGAGAGATACATTAATAACGATAGCTAATGACGAAAGCGGTGCCGATGATGACAAAAGACAAAAAGAAAAACGATCGAAAAAAGGAGAAAACCCGAGAGGAGAAACAGGGCGGGGTGGAAATAAACCACATCAGTGTGAAATTGGAGCGTCATAGCAAAATGGGGGAGAAATCCCTGGACGGTCGAGCTTAACACGAGAATATCACCGGCGACAGATTAAAATAAGCCGGATTACTGAGCGTGCCTCGGCTGTGTTTGAGGGGAGGGGGAGGGGGGTGCAAAGGTGCCGCGAGAGGTCACGTGGTGTCAAAGGAGAGCGGAGGAAGGAAAAAGGTAAAGGGGAATAAAGGGGAAGCCAGGGGGGGGGGGTAACATGAGTGGAGGAGGAAGAGGGATGGGAATGAAGCTGCAAGTAAGAGATCTAAATGAAGGTTGAAGAATGAAGAGGAGGTAAAAATGAGAAAAGTGAAAGATCAACGTACGAGGAAAAAGAAGCTCGGACAAGAAAAAAAGGAAACAATATCTATTGGCAAATACGAAGGGTGAAAACTAAAGGCAGCAATCGAGAAGAAAAGAGAAAGAAGAGACTGGTATTTTACGTTAAGGAGAATAGAGCAACGTAAATACACAAACCCGCCCCCACACACCCACACCCACATCAACTGCTCATCAAAGCATCACGCAGGTGAAGCCTTTCCGCGGAGGTCCCCAGCGCCGGCCGCCGTGGTTGAATGCCCACCCGCAAGACGAGGACCTCGCCCCCCTCCCTGACCCCCGCCCCATGCCCTCACCGCTATAACAACACTTCCTTCCCATTTACTTTACCCTCATATAATTCAATTACGGCGCTTAATCCCATGAAGTCATCTCGTCGCCCTACAATTCGGAGGCGCGGTGTTGTTATTGTCCCCCTGGCGGCCGTGCGGGCAAGCTGCGAGGGCCATGGGGATTACGCAAAGGGAGGGGAATGGAAGAAGGAGGAAAAGGAGGACCAGAAGGAGGGAGGGAGAAGGAACACGGGGAGGGAGGAAGAGGTGGACGAGGGGAAGAGAGTGAGGAATGAGAAGGGGAAGAGGGGAAGGACTGTCAACGACTGACCCTCA